CCGGCAGGACAACCGGGCAACGGAAGCAGACTGAGTCCGGGACCCGAGGGTCCAGTCGGCGGGTTGGAGGGCTCGAAAAAGAGGCCGGACAAGTCGGCGGTCGACGGCAACAGTCCAAGCCCAAGGCCGAGGCTGAGATTGAGCTCGGCCAGATCGGCCGGAGTCCCAGTGCCCAGGTGGACGTCGCCGACCGGCAGAAAGGACTGACCGGTGACGGTCGGACATACAGATTGGCCCAACTGAGGCTGGCCGAGCAGATGAGTCGGTGGAAGACAGGTCGTCTTTAGGCCAGAGAGTCCGGTTGCACTGGACTCGGGGAAGCCGAGATAAGCGGCGCGGTAACTGGGCGCACAAGCCGGTCCGGAGATGGCTTCACCGGAGTCAACCAGTCCGGGCAGAAGAGCAGAGGAAAGTAGGTATGGCGCAGCTGAGGCTGGCGAAGAAAAACCGGCGGTACTGTCGACTCCGACGCTGGTGGAGCCGGCAGTGGCGGCCGCTGCCAAGTAGCCTGGAAGCCATGAGGTCAGAAGGCTTTGTGGCCCGGACATCGAGCTACCAAGTAAATGTACAAGTAGGACTCAACTACACACGAGACTGACAAAATAGTCAGTTTAGGTTGCTTAATGTGAATTAATAACTGGGTAATTGGTTTTTCCCATTTTACCCTGCCAGAAAAGTCCACTTAGCCTCTCCGCTCAAAAGGTGAATCTCGTCCTGTGTGAAGCTGCAACATGATTAGACAGTGAGTCGTGAGTTTTTTAGTAACGTGAATACACACCTACAGCGCCACAGACACCAGAGGTTCAAAGGGCAGATGTGAAATTCACAGCAAATTAAGCCTCATTCACTCAGATTTATAGCTGAATTTTCCTGTAAGCAAGTATGTATTTGCCACTGCTATTAACAGTGTTACTTAATTTCGATGTAAGTAGTATTCAAGACTTCAATAGACCTAGGCTGTCTAACTTTTTTCAAGAATTACTCATCATCACGTAAAATGTCTACAGTTTAAAATAAAAGTACAGCTTTAGTTACATTTTACAAACTCATATTAACTAAATCGACATTCTTTATTTAAGAAAATATTTTAGAAGGTCAGGCCAAGTGAAATTTTCTTCGTTATTGAGTAGGTTTTCGAAACTACCAGTAAATCAGATATATGCGTTGTGTGTCATGCTACGGGTG